GGGGCCACACGGCTATTATATACTGCAGTATTAGGCAAAGTGGTGCCAAGGGCAGGGTACATATTTCAAGCAGTAATTATACCCATTATCTTTGAAGTGTGTTTTTAATTATTACTGGGACAAGGTATATGGTCCCTTGTGCTATCATTTCCCGCTATCAGAATGGGGCTCTAGTGGTACCACTACGTGGTGCCAAGAGTGGAGGACATTTTTCCAGCATGCATTTTACATCCATCATTAGCCACACGAACAAGGGCTAAGGAAATTAGGGAGTATGAAATATGCCTGTAACCTAAACCAACACTTTCTAAAGACCCAATTTGAGATCCTGAAGTGATACTCATATAGGTCTTCAATCTACGTCAGTCATGCTTTATGCATACTACAAAGACAAGAGGTCCAAGGGCCTAAAGGGCCGCTTGAGTATAATTCAACAATTTGAAGCATCTATAGAAGTGTAAAATAAATCAAGATAAACTGAAAAAACGAAGATATTTTGCCCAAAAGTCATCGTCTCAAGCCACGGTCCGGAGTCCGCACACAGCTCTCTCCTACCGTGGCTGCTTGATCTCAAAAAGTATCGTAATCTTGAATATTTACACCTCTTTGTTGTGACGTCATGTTCAGCCAATGACAGAATTTGTTTTCATTGCAATTGATATCAACAATTGACATCAACAGTAAAAGAAATGTTTCGTAAACTGTGATTGGGTGTTGAAAGGTCGCGTCAAAGTTCATTTTCCGACTATGCTTTACTCGCATCGGTTAATTTTTTAATGAGCTACGAAACATTCTCTTCTCATTCAACCGTGGCCAGAATGGGAGAGGATTGTACATTTTGGCCGTGGTTTGCGACGATGCCCAAAAGCAAGAGAAAAAGAATGATCATTGATCAACAGAATGATAAGAGTAGTATTCAGCTACGAATTGTAAAGTAGATGTCTTTAATTGTTGGTACTTGCCAGTGCCTAATTTGAAATTGTATTTGTCACTCTAAGCAAAATACATCACACAATCGTGTTTGATCAAATGTAGTAAACCACCACATACCCTCTAACATTGGCCTCTCAGGGTTTTGTATAACGAGCATTGCAATGTCTTACAGTCAAATGTGGACGAATACGTATGCTGGCTTACAGACATGCAAATTTACTGCATGAATCCTATTTCTTAAAGTCTGAGTGGATATTTACAACCCATGATCATTCCTATATTTCCTATTCAAGACTTCGGCCGACATTGCCGATTGTGTTTTGCCAAGAGTATATTTCATGCTCCTGACGAGCTGTCGTACATTTTGGTCTGCCACTACGATGTCTTTTGTTGCAACTTCCCCCATTGCAAAGTCCTGTTGTATTTTATATTTAAATTAAAGTCCTGCACAAAATTTTATAACATTAAACTTTGACGGTTGTTTCTCATTTTGAGAGGGGGATATTGTAAATGTGCAGGTGGATTTGGTCAATCGGTAATCGAAGTTATGCAGATAAAAAATAAAATGTACGTCAGCCATATACAATTCTTACATACAAAACTTTAATATTAAAAGAATAAATGTGGACTTAATTCCATGACCCTTCACTTTTTTGAGTATAAATTTAAAATTCTTTTATATTTTTTTTAATTTAAATTGATCTATCAGTTACAGTATTTACAGGGATTAATTATCGTAAGTGAATAACAAAAGAAACTAACTTCTCCTTACAAAATTAAGGATGCTCAGATCAGAACACTTGATTCATTTATTCAATTTCAAAATTCTGGAAAAGACACCCTTCCTTATTCCTTTTCATAACCAGGCACTTAGTTTGTCTGCTTAATATCCAGGAGCAGAGAAGATTTTCAAAGAATTGAAGCAATTTCACTATACATGTATGACCAATAAAGCCCCACCCTAACACAATATCCCATGAACAAGAGGCCTTAATTCATACTTTTGGAAGAGACACGTTTGCTTATCATTTCTGTGCACTTCGTTTGTCTCCTAAATATACAGCTGTGAGAGAAAACTTAAACTCCTCATCTAAGGGCCACGAATTTCACAATTTGTTTTTGAGGTATCAGTGCATGTTGGAATTCATAAAAGAGGCAAGCTGTTGACAAATAAGTTGATGATTCAAGGATAAAAAGAATCTCGTTAATAGACAATATGTCGCAAATTCTAAGGTTGAAACAATGGTTTTGTTTGCATCTTCAATCTCTCGTTAAGTCTATTATTTTCACACTGCATTGCCTACTGATTTCTCCGGTTACCCGACCATGACAGAGAGCACACGGCGGGTGTGACCAGTCGATTGTGGATGCCCACTCATCCATGGCACCTGATCCCACCACTGTTTTCAGATGTCCATGTTGGCTCTGCTAACATTTGTATTGTTTGCTTTGACTTTGAGCGTGATAACTGTTCTTTATCTTTTTTTTCTAAATGCAAAAGTCTGATTGTTTGATATCCAGGAATAAAGATGACTTTTAAAAGTTACATTAATTTTGATGGTTTGAACCCAGCCCCTTAGGCTCCAAAGAGCGAGGAACTTGAAATTCACAAGTTTTGTTTTCCTTTTACCCATAGATACTATACACCAAAATTGATTGAACTTGATACAGAGGTCACAGAGAAGAGACACCAAAATTGATTGAACTTGATACAGAGGTCACAGAGAAGAGATTTAATGTGTTTAAATATAACACACGACGACAACAGACGAAAACAGATAGCAATAAGTCACCTGAGTAAATGAGCAACCTCATCTCCCTATGCAATGTCAAAATGTGACAATGCTCAGTTGTCCCCGTCCAGCCCCAAAGACTCTTTTAAAACGTGACAAGGGATACTTCCTATGATCCCTTACCCTTACCTAGTGTTGGTTTGTTACATCATTCAAAAACGATGGAGAAAAAGGTGCTTTCATCACTGAAGAGCGGGAATTGATAACCCTATAGCCCCCCCCCCCTTCCCACTCTGCCACAATAATTGTGTTTTCATGCGCACTTCAAGGAAAAGGGGTTATAAGCGAAATTTAAATTTTCTGGGAAAATGACAAAGAAAAAAAATAGAGTTTCTCTCAGAATCTTGGCCCCGTCTGGTTTTAAAGACCCCTCTAAAAACTGAAAAGGAATACTCCCTATGATTCCTTATCATTCCCTTGTGTTGGTTTGTTCTGGTGTTTGCAAAGAAATAAATACTTAAAAACGGCCTCTCAAACAAAACACGACGATTTGATCTACCCCTAAAGTCCTAATCTAAGATCGCTAAACGATAGCGCGATGCGCCACCTACAATGCCCTTCTAATGACGCATATGCACTTTCCAAAAATGCTTTTAATAACTGTCTTTGGTGATTTTTTTTTTTAATTTTCTATTTCAAAACCGTATGATTTTCCTAATGCAGGTGAGCTTAACTGCCTTCGAGTATTTGTTGTATTAAGTAATTAAGTGTTCCATTAATTGTCTAAGTATTAATTATTAATTGTCTAAAATAAAGTATAAAAACATTATTGCGTCAAAGTACCCTAAGTCCTTTGATGAATTTCTTAGTGGCTGCTGTTACATGTATTGGCTGCTAGCTTCAGTGTAGTATTTTTGACTGCATGTTACACATGTATGCATCCGACTTTATGGTACACAGTAAAGCTTCTGTACTACATAACATATAAAGTGGACTTAATGATATAAAGGGAAGACCTAATGTTATAGGCAACCGACTATGTAGTATTTTAATTTGACATCATATTAAAGCTTCTGTACTACATATAATATAAAGTGGACTTAATGATATAAAGAATTGACTGCATATAATATAAAGTGGACTTAATGATATAAAGAATAGACTACATATTATATAAAGTGGACTTAATGATACATATTACATGAAGTGGACTTAATGATATAAAGAATAGGCTACATATTATATAAAGTGGACTTAATGATATAAAGAATAGGCTACATATTATATAAAGTGGACTTAATGATATAAAGAATAGGCTACATATTATATATTGTGGACTTAATGATATAAAGAATAGGCTACATATTATATAAAGTGGACTTATGATATAAAGAATAGGCTACATATTATATAAAGTGGACTTAATGATATAAAGAATAGGCTACATATTATATAAAGTGGACTTAATGATATAAAGAGTAGGCTACATATTATATATTGTGGACTTAATGATATAAAGAATAGGCTACATATTATATATAGTGGACTTAATAATATAAAGGATAGACTTGATGTTATGTAAAATTGACAATATGATGCATATTTTGCACCCTTATGACAGTATATTGTGTTCCATAGACATAATATAGAAAGTGGTCTTAATAATATAAAGGATAGACTATATAATATATAAGGCGGACTTAGTGATATAAAAGATAGACTTAATGTTATAGGCATCCGACTTTGTAGTATTTTAAATTTGACAACATATCAAAGCTTTTGTACTACATAATATATAAAGTGGACTTAATGATATAAAGAACAGACTTAATGTTATGTAAAATTGACACTATGATGCATATCTTGTACCCTTAAGACAGCTGTAATTCTGGAAGGTATTTATTATGAGTTGGTAATAATGTCACGATTCATAACGTCATATTCAATTTAACAAGCGTGAAGACTGAGTACGTACACGAGCCTTATGGATATTTAACACAATGTCTACTTAATCTGAACAGTTTTAGTTTTTCATAATTTTATAAAGCATAATATGACCTTTGGTAAACTTTGCTGTTTATCATTGTGTAGAAATCCCCATATGGACAGATCCGTTAAATGGCCCCACTATGTGTTTAAAACACAATTGACGAACCAAGTGTTCAAGAAATCTGATTTTGCTGATTTAGAAAACACCATCCTGCCATTTAGTTTAAAGAATGACTGCAAAGGAACAAGCTGCGTATGAATCATATGTTTAGAAACTAGTGTACAATAGCTTTGGCGGAAATAGTACCTGTACTGGAATCCTGATAATATTATCTTCATTTGTAGGTTCTGTAGGCATAAGTCGGTTAAGTGGCTTCACCATCCGTGTTACAAATACTACTGACGAACCAAGTGAGCAACAGATTTGTTATGCTGATTCGGGAAATACCACCCTGCCGTTCATTCTACAAGTTGATTGTAAAAAAACAGCAAGATATGTATGGATTCATCAGACTAAAAGGTCAATGTGGGACTACTACAAATATATACCTATGCTGGAGATTTGTGAAGTGCAGATATTTGGTAAGTTTTATTAAAAACCTTATTTGAAATTTGGTATGAATCTCATCAATCCTCCATACTTAAAAATGATTTAATTTATTAAAAATTTTTAGTTTTAAGATTGAATTGAATCAGAATGGTAAAGGTTGAGAAGAATTAGGTGATATATATATATACAATTTGTAAACAGTTAAACGATGGTCATTGGTTAGGAAATCTGTAATCGGTTAGTCGAAATGGTGTTTTTTCGACTTGGTAAGCGGCTACCAGTATCATGTGTACAGTTTGTATGATCTAACTGATGAGACTGATATAGATGATGTATAAATAATATATGGAAACATGTCAGAAACATCGATTGCAGAAACTGCGAGTGCTACGGATGAGACCGTATAAACCGAGGTCCCATGTCGCAGTAGGTGTTGGCAGGAAAAAGATCCCTCACTGCTCAATGGCCTCAAGTGTCGAACATAGGTCAAAATTTGCAGCTCTCCACCGGCAAATGGTGGCGTCTCAATATGAGTGAAAAATTCTCAAGAGGGACGTCAAACAACAAACAAACATTCTTTTATGTACCCAGCCTATTGTTACGTGGGTCTCAAACAACCTACAAAAAAATTTCTCTTGGGACACTTCACGAACTTCTACAAATAAACTTAAGATTAGCAACGATTGAGAACAATTATACATTACTCGACAAAAGACTGTGCGATACTGAAAAAATGACACATTTTAAGTCTATAAATGACTCTATTTTGGTATTAAGGTAGGTAAATACTATCAGAATTTTCTGTCAAACAATTTATTTTTTCATTTAAATATCTTAAAAAACTCTTGAACCAACAAAAAAACCCATATTACACATACCTTTGCACGCTTATTTTCATACTATGTGCTATAGAGCACATATACTCCCAACTTCAACAGCCAAATTTTAACACAAGGATGTATAATTTCATATTTTATTCAAATATGCACCAAAGCACACTGTATTGTGCTATAATTCATTAAATCTAATAGATAATTAACTACAAAGAGAATTTTTCGAGATATTCAATTGAAAACATGCACATTTAACATTTATACTGCTCAAATCCATCAGAAAAAAAAATCACAAAATATCATTATTTTCAAAAGTCCCTAAATTTATATTGTTAACATGCCATTTTTTCTTTAAAAATATCTAAAATTATAACTAAGGTTAACAAAAAAACATATTTTATCATAGAAGACCAGAGATATTTTATTAAATCATATCTCGAATACCCCTACCCCCATTTTGGTAATAGCATGTTTTACAGTTATATTTTACACACTGTGAAAAATATCAAAATGTAACAAACAAATACAGTCTTAGTACTGAAATTTTGGTCCTTCTAGACACTTAGAACATAAGGGGTAGGGTGGTGGTGGGGGGGGGGGGGGGCAACCCCTTCCTTTTTTCACAATTTTTTTTTACATACAAGTACACATTCTTAACAATTTATAATCTAATACATATAAAGAGAATAAATGTAGTGTAACAAACATACATGTAGATTCTAGCAAGTATAGCTCATAAACAAATAATTTTGTTGAATGAAAATACTTATGATGAACTAACAAGAGTTCAAATACTCCACAACTTTGCCAATGATCTTCTGAGACTTCATAATTCTTGGTGTCTTTGAACCAGACACAACCTCACTAAAGACAGTCTGAATCCCACAATGGGGGTCACGCTTATGTATGAGTTTAAGCTTGTTTAAGCTTAGATTGTTAGCTGTAAGCCTTTTAGAGATCAGTGTAGAAATTACATTGCTTTGTATCAATGGAACTAGTGAGGACTTGACATTATAATAATTCATATTAAATATATCTGAAGATTCACATTTGAATGCTAAATTTGACTCGAACAGTTCTCGTAAACTACAAATATCAGCTAGAGCATTGTGTGCATCGTAACTTTTCCCTAAACACAATCTGACCAATGTTTCTTGTTTAAAATTTCCCATTGTTTTCTTGTCAAACACTTTCTGTGCAAGTTTGTATGTATCCAAAAAACCTAAAACATTTTCATCAAATCGTTTAAGTAGACCATGTCGCTGCAAGTGATATTGAAGAATTGGAAGATCAAAGTTTTGAATATTATGGTCCACAATGACTGGTTTTGAAGCACAATCTGTTGTAAAGTCTGCAAACTGGGTCAAACCACTGACTTGATCTGTTGAAGGCACAGGCTCTCCATGAAGAGTGAGCTGTCCCATGTCATATCTGAGACCTGTTGCAGCCGATGCTTCTTTACAGATTGGTACACTGGGGTTGAGATAAACATTGATTGACCTATCTTCACAAACTGCAGCAATCTGTATGATGTCAGATGTTCTACCTGAAAGCAAAATTATTAATTATATTTTATACCAAACTCAAAAATAAAAGAATACTTATATTTGTTAGTAGAGAAAAGGTAAACTCGAAAAAAATCTTACTAAGTCCAGTAGTTTCTAAATCAAAATACATCAAGCAGCTGCTCTCTGGAAAAATCCTAAGAGGCTCTGGATCAATGTCATCAAGATCAACATCCTCCTCAAGACCAATATCTGACTTATATGATTGACCTGTTACAAACAAAAATCAAGTAAATAATTCTGAAATTCCACTAGCAATGGCTTCTCTAAAGGTGTGAACAATACACAATAAATCAAAGTAAAACATTACATTCAATTCTGTTTTAACTGAAGCACTACCTTCTAGTACATACCTCGCTGCTTCTTTAGCCAACCTGGCAGCTTTTAATTCCAATCGACGTTTTTTTTTGTGGTGGGTAAACTCTGCATCAGACGCTTCCGTTTGAGCTTGTTGGTAAGTCTAATGGTATGTTTCATTGTGAAATTGCCTGGTGACAATGCCATTTTCTTGTTCAACTGTAAAATATAATTCATGTTTCAGTAAATTTTTAATTTTGTGAGTGTTCCATATTCAAATCAAATGGTTTATAAGAACAGGGATTATAGTTTTGAATGTGAATTTCTTAGTAAATCCATATCTTTATGCACTTTATGTACATGTTTATTTAGATAAACATGATTGTAAACATCTTTTTTAAAAGCTACATGTATTTATAGTTTATAATATTTATTGTGGAAAACCATTAAAATCAAAATAAACTTCTAGGACACTAAACACATGTGAACATAACTTTCTTAGGTTTGCCATAAAAAAGAAAGAAAACAAAACATAACAAACAATAAATGTAGAGAAAAACAAATTTAAAAATGATCAACTTGAAACTTTTAACACATTTTTCTACCTCTGATATGTAACCATAACCCATATTCTTTTGACATACAGTGGCTGAGAGTATAGCATGTAGACTTTCTGAACCTCCATAAAACCTAACAACACATTTTTTTGCAATTTGAATCTCATATTTCAGACTCAATTTAAAAGATTATACCTAGAATTTTTGTTTTAAACAAAGAGAAATAAACCAAAGTACATACAATCTTTTGGGGGCTTTAGTGGAGACCATATGGTTGAAATTCTCATTGACTTGGGTGGACCCCATCATGGTTAGCTCTTCTGCCTTACAGCAATACTTTTTGAATAGATCTTCTAAAGCTTCTCGAAGTAAGGTGCAGGACAGAGGCTTTCCATACGGCAAATTTCGTGGTTTATAGTCAGTCTTTTTACTTTGGCACCAAGTTCCACAGTATTCGTGTTCACCTTAAAAAAAAAAGTAGTTAAAATATTTTCACTCTTCATTCCTAATTTTGTAATGACTTTTTTATTGATACACTTACCATATAAATGTGGAACAATTTTGCCAAGTTCAATTTCAAGCTCTTTAGCCTTGCCCCTGTTTTGCTGTACACAATATGTAAAACATCTAAAACAAAGAAGGAAAAGATACTTTTTTTATAATTAGCTATCGCACTTAAAATTAACAAGGTTTTTGTTGGACCACAGTTGATCAAGGGATATTTTACTGAAATATTACACTTCAAAAACACAAACATTTCAATGTGACCTCTGAGTTTTTGATTTTTCAAAACTTTGTGAGTATTGGCAAGCTCAATCAAAGCTCCTGTGAAACCTTTTTTTGTGTGGTTTTTGTCAGCTCTTTTGTTAATGGTTGGGTCCACAGTGGCTTTTACATGGGCAATAGTTGTTGAGTCATTTTCCATGACTAAAGTTCCTATCTGTAAAATACATTGGAAATATGTACTTTAGTTAAAACAGCAAAGTTTTAATATATAATGTAGTCAACTTTACAGACATATTTGGCATTGCTCTAATAAGAATCAAACATTCAATAAAAAGTTACCTTGCACCCTTCATCTTGGATTGCACTCAGCATTTCACAGGCCATGGCTGGCTCCATTGCCTTTGCCAATCCATGCCAATTCCTTTGGCAGTTGTGTTTTCTGGGTGGAACTCCTTTACCTGATGCAGCTGAGCAGATTCTGCATTTTTTACTCTTCGAAGAGAAACTTACTATCTTTTTAGTTTTTTCTCCTACTAGAGATGCATGACCTGTAACAAGATAAATACTGCTAGTACATAACTACATGTATGTGTATTAAAATATGTTACTCTATAAGAAATCTCAATACTTCTTGAGGAGTGAGAATCAAAACATGTAACATTATCACCAGGGCATACCAGTAAGACTATTGTATCCTCTACCAGTACCTCTCTTCTGCCAGGCACCATCAAAAGACACAGTGATGTCTCCATCACTCCTACAAAGTAATTAACACAAATGTGCAAATATTAACAAATAACACATAAATACAAAGCAAAATTTAAATATCAATATTTATTTCATTTCTTCTTGAAGAACTTTATTACAACTCTGCCCTGCCATTTCCTCTAGGTGTTCCCCCACCTCTCTTTCTCTGCTTTTTAGACTCCTGTTTGTGATCCCTGGGATATTCAGTGCAGCCAGTAATGCATTTACATGAGTTATTCCATAACCACCATTTAGCATACCTAAGATATCACAGAAATAAAATGAAAACAAAATAGTTCTTTCAGATGTAAACTTTTGTATAACTGGAAATAATTTATTGTTATCTGCTTATTTACAAAATAAAATTTTTGATTTATACCTGCAGCAAGTTTTGTGTTGACATCCCAAGCATATTGCTTCATATCTGCTTTAACCCTATGCTTACTGCCCGTGGGTATGTCATTAACATGGGCACAGGTGGAATGTGTGCATTTTATCTGAAGAACCTGCATTTGGTCAAAAATTAATGTAAAGGGTATACAACATCTTTAAAAACAAATCTTTGAAATACATTGACAATGTTATAAAAAATAATTAATACCTGCCCTAGTCCAAATTTCCTTTCACCAATAGTGTTAACAAGCTGAAGTGCATTCCCACACATGGCGCAACCTCTTTTCAGATTATCCACAAGAGTGCCAAGTTCTACAATTCGTCTTCCAACACGCCATGAACTTTCTGCACTTTGACACTCAACACTTCGTAGAACAGGGGAAGAATCATTCTCCAAGCATAGGCCATCATTTTCAACATTTAATATTTACACAATAAATGATTGAATCTTTTGCTACATATTCCAACAGTCCATAGCAGAACGCTTACACAATAATTATTAATACAGACACTTACCCTGTTTACCTTTTAACGCACGGGCTTCTCTTGCTCTCCTTAGACCCTCAAGTCTCCGGAGGAACGAAGTTTTCACGAACGTTCCTTTTTTAGACCGGGGCATTCTTGTATTTTTATATAATCACACGAAATTTATGATAAATGACCAGACTGAATGTTTTGCGCCAAAGTCGAGTCATAACCGGAAGTCTCCAGTCGGTGTATAAAATTTAAAACCGGAAGCGAAAAACTATAGCCTTTCCTTAAATGAGAGGGTAAACAAATTTGTTTCGAGATTGTAGCTCTCCCGCGATAGAGGTGCAAATTAAAATATCTATATCAGCATGGGAGTGGGACAGAATGTTGATGTACACAAACGTGCATAAATCAATGAATGATGGCTAGGGTTTTTAAAATTCATCTTATGCTATAGAAAGATGATTATGTCAAGCAATCATTATGATGATTTTGATGAGCTCTGCTATACATGTTTTACAAAATTCACTTACAATTAGGGTGTACTTTAAAACAAAAGAACCGGCATAGTCTTTGTGAAAAAGACGATTCTTTGATTATAAAAACCTTTCTAAAAAGCTATTGGGCTCTCTGAAAATAATATAAGGGGAAGAGTCGATGTGTCATTCCGAATGCCGACGTGCAATGATCAGATGCGTATTAGATATCCATATCTCTTCCCTCGTCCGATAAGTCCTATCCACTGATATTTTCTTTTATTTCGATTTCTTTGGTAGAAAAAAATGAGGCCTTTACTTAAATTCGGTAATTTCGAGTTGAAGAGTACATCCCGACAATTAGGTATATGGCAAATCGATGGTGTTATGTATCCAATAATATGTTTTACGGAGTGACCGTTGGGGCGAGCACAGTTGTACCATCAAAAACCTATACACAGCTTACACTTGTAACGTTGATGGAACTGCCTTTTCAAACTTAAAACCGCACGAGACACAGTCTAGACTGTGACGTCACATGACGTCGGAATTTACGGAGACAGCCGAACGTTATGGTTGAACGAGACTACAGGGTCTTGTGCAATAATAAATGAAATACGTTGTAGAGTAGATGCAATTATTTTTTGCTTCCTTTAAGGTTTCTGCAAAGAAATAAAAGTAAACGAATCTCTGGTAAAAAAAAAACAATTATCCTTGGTCTTTTGTATGTTTTGTTATAATTTCGCATGGAACCCTGGTAGCGAAGAAATTCTGGGAATGTTGCACAAGAAAAGAACAAAGTACGTTTTGGGGCGAATTTGGCCGAGTCTTAAAAATATTGAGATTTATCGTATATAAAGTTTAGAATTTGAACTTTCTAATGATATACAATTCACTAATATCTGATCACGTGGAATGTATCGGAAATAACTCTAAAAAGTGGTACTTCATGACCGTGACGTTAGTTCCGATGTCCGTTTATCTGGACGACGTCAATGACGTTATATCTCATTTGCATCATATAAAGATCAAACATTAATATTTATAAACGATGGGAGAGTTTTTTGTAAAAAAAAAATCATTTGCGATTAAGTTTTCATAAAACGGGTGGGGTAGAAAAAGATTTTTTTTTTCATATTGAAAGCATGCAAAATATAAAATTTCCTGCGTGGAATGTAAGGTAACAAAAACTATTATTTTCAATCGCTCTCTTTCTCTCTCTCTTTCTCAAGCATGTCGCCGTATAATAATGTACTCCCTGCAAAGATATTCTTTTAATGTAAAAAAAAAATTTCTTCAAATCAACTAAACAGTTAAAATAATTATTCACTCAATATGATCTCCTCATTTAAAATAGACTATTCATATTAACAAATAAAATATTTTTGCTATTTACGTTATTATGAGGTGAGGAAAATGTAGAGAATATTCAATAATGGTTTGTCTAATTCTTGAACTCAATTCACGTTTATCACCAAGAAAATTTTATCAAAGATAATATAAATAACAAAACTTCAAAAGCAGTCTACATTCATTCCTCCGTCGGACTCTCTGCACCACTGTCCGATTCATCAACAACACGGGAAGCGTCGTCAAGGTGATCCGCCCAGTTTAAAACGCCATTCAAAGGTTTAGACTGGTGCCGTGCAAAGGAAAGATACCAAAGTACGCTGGTAACATGTGAACAACACCCGACAACACGGGATCCAGATTTACATTTACAGTACCATAATACAATAGCCCCAACAAAGGTATTGTTTTTGGCCGACACGTGACGACTTTTGCGCCAATTATGTTTGGTTTATCTTGTGCAATAAGAATGTCATACGCACTGTCAACTTGGAAATGTTCATGTGTGTACGCTCTAGCCATCTTGACCTGATAGGTTTCTAATGTGATATTGCGGATCTCATCTTCATACAGAACAGGAAAATCTTTGGCAACACTATCTGCATCAGGAGCGTTCCACTGGGAAGGTCTCCTGTCCCAAGAAAACTTGGCATCTCCATCCGAATACCGATGTCAGCCAGAACGTTAACGTCGGCACTGTCTCTGAAGCCACGATTGACTATAAATGTGTCTCCTTCCTGTAACCAACTCTGCATTTCTTTGGCATTTCTTTCAATCATGTGGCTAAGAATACCGGCGTCGTTGTTTTTGGAATCGGGTAGACCGAGGACGGACACAATGTATCCAGATGTCGTGACGACCATCATTGGCTTAACGAGAGGTCTATGTTTATGTAGACTATAAGAGCGTCTGGAAAAACTGAAATTGTTAGACTTCTGGATGTACGATGGGTGATCAAAAAGTTCGCAAACTATCCCTATATTTACAAAACCGCAATTCAGATCAGAATGAAATTTGGCACACATATAGTCATTCACATATTCTATAAATAGCAGGTGTTATATAATGTTTTGCTCAGTGTTTGTGACGTCACAATGTGAAAATGACGTCAGTATGTAGGTGACTTGTGACAAAAAATGGTTGACGCAGTCGTACTCGAGCAACGCACGGCTGTAAAGTTTAACGTATATCTTGGAAATTCCTTTGCAATAGAATATGATAATTTGTACAAGGTTAATGAAGACAAAAACTTACTAGAACTTCAATCATTAATTGGACTGATTGTTTTAGTGAAGGCAGGGAGATGGTTAAAATTATGTTTGTTCCGTTGCCCAGCAAAAGCAAGCCGGGGAAAAGATGTGTCCTTAGTTGAGCAATTTGTTACGAAAGATCGCCAAGTTACAATTAGAAAAATAGTTGAATATCTTAACAATAATATAATTATTAAATCCCTAAAATATCGTGTACTTTGGACTTTAAACGTATGAGATATGATAAAAAGAGGTCGTCCATACTTTATCCACATTGGATAAACGACGCTCCCTAGACAGAGGACTCGGGTTTAATTAGATGATCACCATGCTAATTCTGGGAAGGGATGTCCTTATCCACCCATCTTATTGCAGAGTTTTTTCCCATTTCTGACAGATGGACTGTTCTTGTTTTTAAAATAACTTGCATGGTAAGAAATATAAGACTAGGAAAAATCTTTTAGCTTCTGTGAACAGAACGCCACAGAGCATGTCACGTGACCGCTTGATCACGTGATTCGTGCATGGGCAGAACAGTGGGCAGATGTGCATTATAATTGGAGAGGACTACTTAAAAAATAATAAGCTCTGAAACCTCATTTTATTTCTTTTAAGGAAGTTATTCAATTAGTTCGCGAACTTTTTGATCACCCCTCGTATATATACGTTCCGTCTAACACTAGCAAAGCTGGGGTCGTCTCTGTCAAACCAGGGGAAAACAGTTCTTGTGCTAGGGCCTCGTATGCTTAGTTATGATTTCGCCGCGAGAAATATGTCCAAAACCCAGGTTTTGTGGCACAAAGTCCTTCATAAGGGAGCCTCTTGCTAAGGAAACGGCTCTGCGTACCTTGATAAAATAATAGAAAGATTAACGCACGGAATTTTTTCCTAATGAATTTTTAAAAAATATTTCAAAAGAAAAAATCATTATCTTATTAAAAGAACAATAAAACACCAATGATCAATGTTATAGCGTTAAGAGCGTACCTGCCACTTTTTTTCATATTGGAAAGGGTAGCCAGCATTTTATTATCTAGAGCACATCGCAGTTTCATCAGCAAAATTGCAACACTAGTGCGGATGCGTCTGGATTTGGGTGTATTGATTTGCTCCACATTAACCACTAGATCATCGAACTGCGTCCGTGTGAGTCCTGTCAGGTTGCGATAATCCTCGTCAGAAAGAGAAGTCTCATTATCAGAATCCAGACGAGTGGATGCTTTTCTCTTCGCATAGTTTCTTAAACTGTCAGGAAGATTCCTTATATTGTCATTGCTGAATGACGTACATTTTCTAACTCTCTCAAAAACTCCGTAGCTCAACGCCTCTGATGTCAAATGTTCGCCATAAATATGAGAAGGACAACACCGGGAACCCTCTTGCATGAACACACCAAGTTGTACAAACATCTCAAGCCGAGTCTGTTCTGGAATGACAACTAGTTTACGTGGCTTCTTTTCACATATTCCACAAGCGTCATGTCGATATCTAGTGGACAGAATGGATAGTGTTATATGTTCAAGCGGGGCAGCATTTTCTTTGTCTACAACATTATGGAACTCTGGAACTCTGGATTCTTGTTTGAGGGAGACGTACATGTAGTAGAGTTGCCTGCTTTTGTTACAGACTACGTCATTCTCACCTAAATCTTTCACGAATCTCTTTGACAAGGATTTTCGAAGATTTCCATTAAGCGGTCTTCGTACGCTAGTCTTGTTGCGCCTACAGCAGGCTATATACACGAGTATGACTTATACTTGGAGGACTTCGACAAATTTCAGAACCTAAAAAAATAATTTTCGTGGACTTTATTATTTTCTTTTTTCAATAAATAACGTAATAATCAATAAAATTCTTGTTAAAACAGGTAAAATTAATAAGTTTAGCTGCATACTGTTTAATTTTCCACTGTAAGATTTAATAATGTGTTATAAGGATGAAGGCAAAAAGAGTAAATTTCTGAATATTTTAGGATATATGTGATATTTATTTGCATATCTCAAAACTAAAATAATTCCAAAAATATACATCAGTCCCAGCATCCAATTGTTACATCTGTCTTTAAGGAAGGATTCAGTAAATAACACATTAATATAATAACAGTAGAGGCAGCGGAGATCCCGCATTTTCCGTCTTCTGTATTTTTTCACACACACCCCCTTTCCCCCGGTGCAAATCGCTGTTACATGTAGGTCGCTCGGGTTCCGAACAAGAGCAAATTATCTCCCCATAACTGACCAATTATTTCTCAATAATATATTATAGGATTGACTATATAAATTATTTTGTTCATCGAGAAATGAATCTAAAAAACGAATCGCACACTTTATGAAAGCCGAAGGCTTTCATAAAAAAGTGTGCGATTCGTTTTTTTAGATTCATTTCTCGATGAACAAAATAATTTATATAGTCAATGCTTATAATTCAATTAAAATACAATTCATGTATACTTTTGACAATTTTAATCTGAATAACAAGATATCAACACGAAATAAACAGGAAATTAACACGCGGAGTGATCCACAGGGAGGAGTGCTGGCCGTTGTTAATAGCAACGTGTTTGTTCACAAATCATTCACCTGTTTTCGGCAAAACATGAGCGTTAAAAGCACAATTCTGAAAAACAGAATTTGTAATAAATCCTCCTGAACTTGTGTTTGCCGACACATTTGTACTTTGTTGACTGTACGTTTTTGTAGCTGACATGTTTAAGTCACGGGCTTGTGGCATAACATCAATGCCGCTAGGTCCTGCGCTGTCATCATTCGCCGACGCCAGATTCGATAAAGTTTTACTGATTTGAAGTTTTTGGTTACTTGCACATTCCCTGGCATAGCTACGAATGGAGCCTTCGTTTTTATGTCCGCTCATGAACATTATGTGACGCAGCTCTACCCCTGCATTACTAAGAGCTTGTATGCTAGTGGCTCTCAGGCAATGTGCTGTATACCTTTGTTTACATTTTGCATTTCTTGAAATGTCGCTCATAAATTTTGTAAATTGATATTTTTTCACTGGTGTTTCTGAATACCATATATTTTCGTTTAGGTTGTTAATTGCTTCTTTTGTGCAGTGATTAAACAAAGCGCTAGTGTTTGGGTCTGTTTTACTTAGGAGCAATTTTAATGATGCTACTGGGCATTTGTTTTCATTTGTTGCATACATTCTTTTATCTTGACATCCTTCTTCGTTCGACAACCCTCCTTGTATTGTTTTTTGCTTTGTTTCGTGGGAAGGAACAACATATTCGCGGTCGTTTTCATCCCTGAGAAATTCAAAAGAATTTGGTTTAAGTTGTTCGTGAAACTCAAGTCCGCGAGTAACGTAATGAATTGCGAGATCATACCATACGCGATAACGCAGAATTATGGGGTTATCATGTGAATGCAAGTATTCACTGATTTTGCTCAAATCCTCTGGGGTGATGATGTCCTTATGTTTAGTTGGTCTTGAGAGTCCGCTCCTGACATTCTGTTTTAGTTTTCCATCCAAAGTATTATTTGCATATTTGAATTCTTTGTCTTTTGCAATGTTTATATATCTTCCTAAATCATTAAGGTGCCTATTAATTGTTGCTCTAATATTTTTCATAGTATTTTTGTGATATTCGTTAAATCCTTCTGTTGGACATTTTGTAATATTAGGTTGTGCCTCTGCATAAAATTTGCACAGTTTTGTGTTCAGCTCGAGAGGATTAATTGTTGAGAAATCAATTTCCTCTCCAAAAGTTTCTGAACTCCATTCTATAAAATAAACGATAAATCCTTGCTAAAAATAGTCAAATAACTATATGTTTTTTTTACTTTTCCCACAAAAAAATTAAGAATGTATATCGAACTGTAAATCATACAAATGTTGAAACGAACGTGTACACCCCCCCCCCCCTTTTTTTTAAACCGCTACATCAAAAGCTGGAAAACTGTTGACATTCACTATAATTTTTCAGGGAACTAATTTTATATGAAATGCAGGCAGTTTACTCTATGTATTTGAAGTCAAGATTGAAAAGATCATTATTATCTAAATTTTATATTAATTTACCTTGTATGATTTTGACACCCCATTTTGTGTTG